TTGGCAAAATGCGGCCGTAATTTCAGTGTATTCCGAGCTTCTCTCCTACCTGCTGGGCGCTGGTTTGTGTGCCTTCTGGTGCAGTGGCCAGCGTCCAGCAGGGAGGAGAGAAGATTTCAGGAGGCCAAGGGGGTGGTGACAGCTGTCAGAACTCTCCTCCGAGCTGAGTGGAGGAGAGTAGGGCTGCAGCTAACGATTATTTTCATAATCGATTAGTTAGCCGATTATTGAGTTCGATTAATCGACTAATCGGATTTAAAAAAAAAAGGGTTCAGTGATGGACTACTAGTTTCTATTGAGATTGTAGTCCATCACGGGAGCAAGCTTGGCGCGGTGGAAGTAAAAAAAAAGAGTGTGGTGTGCAATATAGTACATTATACAGCGGCACAGTGCAGAATACCAGCAGCTATAGAATAGAATACAACAAATGCCAGCAACAGTACAACATTATACTATAATGTACTATTGCTGGGATTTGTAGTCCTCCATAGCTGGTGGTATTCTCCATTGCGCTGTATAATAATGATACTGCACAATGCAGATTACCACTGACCAGTTATAGAGGAACTACAAATCCCAGCAATAATACATTATACAGCGCGATGGAGAAAGAGCGCTGGAATCTGTCACAGGAGGCGGAGCTTTCCTTCCCCACCACCCGCTCGGCCTCCTGTGACAGCCGATTCAGGATGGAGAGCTGTATACAAACACTCAGCGATCAGCTGATCGTTGAGTGTTTGTAAATGATTGGACATAGTATGAGTTACCATGTCCCAGTTATGAATGAATGGGAAGCGATCTACAGCACTTCTTTTCATTCATGATAGTACGAGTTACTATGTATACAATCTCCACAATGTATGAATGGACAGGAACAGTCAGGCTGCTTGTTTATTAATAACAGGGGCTGCAGAAAAAGAGTGAGGACACTTACTCGTGTCTTCCCCGCATGCTCTCGTCCGAAAATGTGAAAAATCTCGGGCGGCCGCAAAGCATCCTGGGGCGGGCACATGCGCAGATCACATTTTGGGCCGGGACGCTAGGAGAGACACAAGGTAAGTCTATGGATGCTTGCAGAGACCGTGGGACAGGAAGTGCCAGCAAGCCCAGAAGAGTCAGCGCTGGATCGGAGACCCGCCGCAGCGCTGGAGAGACAGATGAAAATGACAGGAAAAAAGAGGAAGATCGGATTAAGAAACATCATTTAAGGTAAGTGCTGACATTAACATTGGGGGTAGGGAAACATTTTTTTGACTTTAATGTCACTTTAAATCGACACTAAACTCAGGAGTTAAATGTATACAAATGTATTCAAGTACCTTCACTATTACCAAAAATGTATCTTATTTGTGTATCACTCGGCTGTAGATCCTCCAATCATCTCTGAATTGGTGCTGACACTGTCCTTCCTTCTGGAGGGGGGATACTTTTGGTCCCCAGGGCGTGTTGTAAAGTAGTCACCGCCCCAAGCTCGCTCCTGTGATGAACTACAATCTCAGTTTAGTTTACTCATGTGTATTGAGATTGTAGTCCATCACGGGAGAGAGCTTGGAGCTGTGGCTACTTCACAACGCACACAGGGACCACGGGGAACAAAAGTAGCCACCCTCCAGAAGGAAGGACAGTGTCAGTACCAATTCAGAGATGATTTGAGGATCTACAGCTGAGTGATACACAAATAAGATACATTGAAGGGAATTTATCAAAACTGGAGCAGACCGAATCTGGAGCAGCTGTGAATGGCAACCAATCAGCTTCTCTTTCATTTTCAAAGCTTAACTGAACAAACAGAGTGAAGCTGATTGGTTGCCATGGGCAATTGCTCCAGATTCTCTCTGCCCCAATTTGATAAATCCCCCCCATTATTGTTAATAGTTTAGGGTTTTAGGATTTTTTAAAAGTTATCTTTAAGATTTGACTCCTGAGTTTAGTGTCACTTTAACAAATGCAGAAGGAAGAAGAGCTGCCATATACAAGCACTTGGCAATTACCAGGCACCTATCCATTCTTGTGGTGCAAGCATTGAAAGTTGTATTCACATATGGGCCGACGGCATCCACTGCTCTGAAAGGTGCTGCTAGAGATCTATGTTATTGATGGGGGAATGACAGGAGCAAGAATGGTTTGCATAATGATCCAGCCAACCTAGCACATGACCGGGTAATATCCAAAGTCTTTTCACGTTTTAGGGTATTGTTGGTTTGTTCGTGGTGATTTGTGTTTCTCTGGCGAAGTGTTGACAAGTCTGACAGTATTACATGGTTGATGCTACAGTAGCCATTTGTTTGAAATCTGGGTGAAGTTTAAACATATGGCAATGTGTTTATGGTTCCGCAGGTTTATGTTAATGTTTAAAGCCTTGCAGCACGTTGGGGGATACTGGGACCGTGTACCACCTCATAAGAACATTGCTGCTTGGAGAGATTTTTATGAGCCATTTTCTGCCAGGCTTTCAGTTCCATTGTGTGACCTGTGTCTTTTTATTTTCCCCATGCACTCATATAGGGGAGTCTATATCTACTTTAAAGGAGAAATATGAGGAGAGTGAAATACATTCATCCTAATAGTTAGAGCCGACGTGTGACACTGCCGCTGTCACACGTCAGCTCTATAGATGGAGAACTGAGCGATCACATACCTGTCAGTCACTACCCCCCGCAGGGATTCCCCCCCCCCTTCCCTCTCCATTCCAGGGGGCGGGCACAGCTCTAGAGAGGCAGAGCCAGCTTTCAATCAGGTAGTGGGGTGGATCCTGACACTTTTGACACTATTGTCGGGATTCGTCCCAGCTGCAGAGCGGTTTTGCATGGTTAGCATATAGCGGACAATAGCCATCTATATGCTAAGTTTTGGGTCACAGGTTGACATTAGTAAATGTTCTCCTGTGACCCTAAAGGGAACTACGGCCAAAAAAGGTTTATATATAATCCCCAAGACATATTAGAATCCAGGATGTCATGCAGCCTACTGGCATCCACTTGTACCTAAAATCTATTTTGGATGGGCCTAGCATTTAGAACAGCGAGCCCCCATCTTGCTTCTTTTTGGGGCAGTCTCATTGCCCCGCAAGACTGATGCCAAGGTCCTAGGTGTCATCCTTGACTCGGACCTCACCTTTCTTCCCCACGTCCAATGACTATCCAAATCCTGCCGCCTTCACCATAACATTTCCAAAATACGCCCCTTCCTCACAAATGAAACCTCAAAACTACTCATCCACTCCCTTGTTATCTCTCGTCTTGGCTATTGCAACTCCCTCCTCATTGGCTTACCTCTACACAGGCTCCTCCCCTTCAATCTATCATGAATGCAGCTGCTAGACTCATCCACCTAACCAACCGCTCAGTGTCTGCAACCCCCCTCTGCCAATCCCTATACTGGCTTCCAATAGCCCAAAGGATACAATTCAAAATATTAACAGTCACTTATAAAGCCATCCACAACTCTGCCCCCGGATATATCTCAGACCTTGTCTCAAAATATCACCCTAACCGTCCACTCCGCTCTTCCCTATAACTCCTGCTTTCCAGCTCCCTTGTCAACTCCTCCCATACTCGCCTCCAGGACTTCTCTAGAGTCTCTCCCATCCTCTGGAACTCTTTAACCCAACCTGTCCGACCTATCTCCCACTCTGACTGCCTTTAGGCGTTCCCTTAAGACTCATTTCTACAGGGAAGCCTATCCCACCTCAACCTAACCACTGAACTATCCCTTTCTCAAACAATTCATCCCCACACAGCTACCTCCTCGTGTATCACTCCCCCATCCCTTTTTAGATTGTAAGCCTTCAGGGGCAGGGCCCTCCTTACCATCTTGTCTTGAATTGTATTGTGATTGCAATGTCTTCCTTATATTGTAAAGCGCTGCGCAAACTGTTGGCGCTATATAAATCCTGTATAATAATAACTTGTCAACTCCTCCCATACTCGCCTCCAGGACTTCTCTAGAGTCTCTCCCATCCTCTGGAACTCTTTAACCCAACCTGTCCGACCTATCTCCCACTCTGACTGCCTTTAGGCGTTCCCTTAAGACTCATTTCTACAGGGAAGCCTATCCCACCTCAACCTAACCACTGAACTATCCCTTTCTCAAACAATTCATCCCCACACAGCTACCTCCTCGTGTATCACTCCCCCATCCCTTTTTAGATTGTAAGCCTTCAGGGGCAGGGCCCTCCTTACCATCTTGTCTTGAATTGTATTGTGATTGCAATGTCTTCCTTATATTGTAAAGCGCTGCGCAAACTGTTGGCGCTATATAAATCCTGTATAATAATAATAATAATATTGTAAACACCTGCAGCAGGGAAGCGCTATACAAAGCAATGACAGCTGACAGCACCTGCAGCCATTTGCATGTAAATAGACATGCTGTGGTTACCTGCAGCCGATCTTCCTGGACGCAAACAGTTTATGTCCAGGGGCGATTATCTGCAGGTAAATGCAGCATGTCCAATCACTTCCGAACGGCTGCATGCGCTGTCTCAAACACAAATGTGGATGGGGCCCTAAGGCCTGCCATTCAGCATTGCAGAAGATATAACACACAGGAAAATAACAAACCCTCATTTGAACTTCAGCTCTCTACATTCCCATCGCATTCTAGCGTCAGATCAGATTTTTCTGCATTGCAGCCTATGGTTGTCTCTGCCCTCTTGACCATTATTATGCCCTCATGTCTTCCCTTACTACAAGGCTGCCCTTAATGTCAATAATAGGATTTCTGCTGTCTAGTGTATTATTACTAAGCATCTGAGATTTCCCTGCAGTGTGTGTTTGTTCTATCCCCCTCTCTCTGCTGCCCGCTGTTTGGAAACACAGCCTACTTACAATGCAGAGATAATAGAAAACCCCCAGCGAGGAGGAATCCTTGCAGCAGAGTGGAGGCATTGCAGATGACCGATCGTATACATGTTACACCATTGACGGCTCCCTCCACAGTAGCTTGCTGGTTAACTTCCCCTGTCTGTTGACCCCCCTCTAGCTTGGTGCCTTCCCTCTTTCTCTCCCTCTCTCTTTCTGCATAGTAACTCCCACAATCATTCCCCTCCTCACGTGTGTCACAGGGCTGTGACTGGGATTTTGCCAAAGCTATGCATGCGGATAAGCGTCTGTTACAGAACAACCTCTTTATTGTGATGTAGAAATAAAAGCACCGCAAGCCCCCAATTTCATTCAAACACATCGGCTCCTGGTACTGGAGGAACAATGCCACTCGGAAGACAAGTCATGAATATTTTATTGATTCCTATTGATTGTTGTTGCGTTATATTTGCTGTATCTAGTTGTAAAGCATGTTAAGGATTTTGTCATTTCCAAACAAATCTGTTCTTGCTGCATTTTAATGTTTTTCTGTTTTGTTTTTTTCCCTTTTATCTTTCTGGCTCTACAGATGCAGTTCATGTTACTCTTCAGCCGTCAGGGAAAGCTGCGGCTCCAGAAGTGGTACGTGCCGCTGTCTGACAAGGAGAAGAAGAAGATTACCAGGGAGTTGGTTCAGACTGTCTTAGCCCGAAAACCGAAAATGTGCAGCTTCCTAGAATGGAGAGATCTGAAGATTGTCTACAAAAGGTGGATCCCGCTTTCCTCTTCTCCTTTCCCCTCCCTGACATTAACCCCTTAGACCTGGGCACACAGACACCAGACCCGGGCCTTTGACACAGTTTGATTTAATTAGCAGTTCACAATCCTAGATTTTTGTTAAGGGTTAATATGTGGAAGCTTGATACAGCTGCCTTTATGTATGTTGATGCACAGGGTTATGGGCTGTTGTGTTAGAATTCTGAAGCTGGGTTGTGCAGCCTTGACACTCAAGCGGTGGCTGAACTTTAAGGGAAGGGATATTGTCTTTTCAATGAACAGTCAATTGGAGTTAGTGTAAAGGTTACTCAAAAGTCACATGTTACCTGCTCGCGGTGCCCTATTGTTATAATGTTATTACATTTACAGATATGTTGCTTCTCCCTCTAATGGCTGTTTATTTTTAATGTTTTTATTGTACATAGCAATAGTAAATCTTGCAAAGCTTTAAGAGAAATCTGTCATGAGTTATACATGGTAGTTGCCATTGCTGGCCTCTGTCTCAAAAAGGCCCGTTTTATATACTTTGAGGGGAATTTATCAAAACTGGAGCAGTTGCCCGGGGCAACCAATCAGCTCCTCTCTTCAGTTTGGTCAGTTAAGATTTGAAAATGAAAGAGAGAAGCTGATTGGTTGCCGTGCACAGCTGCTCCAGATTTTGTCTGCTCCAGTTTTGATAAATTCCCCTCTTGAGTGTTTTAGCTCATTTCCGCACACAGGCACTAAGCCCACCATCACAAAACTGCCCGAAATTCGCACAGTGGGTGCCGCTGTCAGCACCCTTTCGACCGGCATCCCTAGATCAGCTGATTAGAGGAGCTGGTTGAAAAATCTTCGAAGAAACAGAGAGCGGGCAGCCAATGAACTGCCGCCTCTGTTCGAGTACAATACAATGAAGACGGCGAGAGATTCCGCCATCAATGCTCGTAAGCGTTGATAGAGGAATATGTCATGTTTTCGTCGTTCAGCCTGCAAGTTGAGCGAAGAAAATATTACAGTTTATGGCCAGCTTAAGTATAAAAACTCTTTTACCTGATCAAATCTTAAAAAGTAAGAAACACTTGGGGGTGTATTAATACAATGCTCTGCAAATATGTGGCTTATAGATTCGCTCTACATTATGGCTACTAGATGGAGCCGAGGAGCATAGGAAATTCCTATCCGCCTCTTGTAGCCACAATACAGTGCAACTCTGGCTCTGCAAACATTTTATAAATACATTGAATATTCTTGAGAACCCACTTGCTGCAATGCCATTCATTGTTAATGCCGTATCAGTGCACCATATGCTTTCATGGGTATGAATTTGCCTATGGCAACCAATCAGCATCTCTCTTCAGTTTGTTGAATTAGGCTTTGAAAATGAAAGAGAAAGGCTGATTGGTTGCCATGCACAGCTGCTCCACATTCTCTCTGGTCGAGTTTTGATAAATTTCCCCCACTGTGTTTTGTTGCGATTGTCGTGCATAGAGCAGTCCTAACATACACCTAGGGCCACTCGGATGTCATTCACCTAGTTTAGGCCCAATACTAACCTACAATGGAGCTTACTCAGGGTGGAATCCTCTTGCAGGAAGGCAAGAAGGGAGCACAGATTGGTGAGTATACTTTACTGTCTGGGGATGGCTATCAGAAGACACTGTTACTCTTCTCTGAATGGGCAAAGTGACAGTGTCTCCTTAAAGTGACACTAAACTCAGGAGTTAATGTAAAAACAAATGCATTCAAGTATCTTATTTATGTATCACTTAGCTGTAGATCTCTGAGTTTGTGCTGACCCTGTGCTTCCTTCTGGAGGGTGGCTACTTTTATTCCCCATGTTCCCCATGGTCCCTGGGTGTGTTGCAAAGTAACCACCACTCCAAGCTCTCTCCTGTGATGGACTACAATCTCACATTTAGTTTACTAATTTGTATTGAGATTGTTTCCAACACACACACAGGGACCATGGGGTAGAAAAGTAGTCACCCTCCAGAAGGAAGGACAGTGTCAGCACCAATTCAGAGATGATTTGAGGATCTACAGCCGAGTGATACACAAATAAGATACATTTGTGTTAATAATTAAGGTACTTGAATGCATTTTTAAGATTTAACTCCTGAGTTTAGTGTCACTTTAAAAAGATATACCTTTGCTGCAGGGTAGAAAGACCCATATTCTTAACATAACCTGCCTTACAAAATTGGCAGCATTAATATAACCAACAACTCTGCCCTGGGGCCTTCGGAAAGTTCGGCTCAATTTCTCAGCAGTAGGGTATGAGAAAAATCTAGAAACCCCTAGTTAAGGAACATTCAATATATTTCTGACCTTAGCATGCAGTGTTTTCCCGATTTTTTTTCAATGATTTTACTTTTTGCTTGGAGTTATTCTTGCCCTTCATGCTTATTAGTACACAGCTAACTGGGCACCCACAAAGAGGATGTTCAGCAGCAGTTAGAGCCTCAAAGGCTGCAAAAGTCAGCTAATTTGGCCTATATGAGTGAAGTGGAGCATCACGCTGCTCATGTCTTTCTACCTAATAGTAAGGCATTGAATAAAAGGGATTTAAATTGTTATTATATTTCATTATATCCTTGTGTTATTTACTGTGTAGTATGTTTATCACATTCTCACATTCTTTCACTGATGTTGCTTAGAAAGAAAAGGTTTGTACAGATAAAGCCAGCAATCTACAAATACATTTTGAAGGTCGCAGAAATTTGAAACAAGTGTCCCTGAGCCACATAGTATAATGCCTGCTCAGTCTGGAGTCCTTGTACGAGCGCAGGTTTTCTCTCCTACATTGTTTATTGGCAGGTGTTGCATGGTTTGAAAATGATTACTATGCAGTGAGGTTTAAGAGCCGTGATTACCCCAATATCTTGGGAATAGTCCTGTGGGATGATTAAGTGATCCATTCTGGGAAGCTTTCAGAGCATGTAAGTGTATTTGGTCCTAATACACGCTTCTGCATTTAGAATCACACATGTTTTTTTCATGTGTTGCTCTGCATTTCTTTGTCTTTTAAGCAGCAGCTTTTTTTTTATATTTTTTTGTTCAAACATCAATTCCAGTCCAGTTACCCAGCACAGGGCACCTCACTAGAAATGCTTCTACATTAAAAACTGAGATGTCTGCATATATTTTCATATATAATGTGAGGTCACATCACCATATCAAAGATTTGCTGGGGTGTCCTACACTGCTACCTGTGCAATCAGATTGGGATGTGTACATGCAGTGGATACATTGAGATCTGCTTACCTGTAGTAAGCTTTATCCTCCTTAAGGGCCCATTCACACCACATCTAGATCATCTCCAGTCCAGACCAGATTGTTTCCGGACCCAAAATGCATCCTAATGTATCCCTATGCTATTTCTGGCCTCTGTTCACACCAGCGCAGTCTGTACCGGACCAGAAAAATACAGCATGTCTCATTTTGTCTGGTCTGGAATGCACTGTAATTGCGGGCTGGTTTACACCATTTTCCAGACCAGATCTGCTTCTGAAAATGGTGTGAACCTGCCCTAAAGGTTCACTAACACACAAGTGGCCCAGACTGACAATTGCACGCCAAATCAAATTGGTCCGTTTATTAATAGCTGGGCAATGATACAGGCAGTTGGTTCAGTTCATAAAAATCCAGGATTTCTCCTGTGGTCAATCCAGCTGTTCAATACCTATAACCTCACTATTTTAACATTCCAAATACACATGTTGCAAAATTTTTTAGTGTGAAGCCACAAGGTATGTGCTTTACCTCTGTGTTAAAAATGGATTTGAGCAACTGCCATTCTCTGTTTTTGTGTGTTATGCATGAGTTTACATTTTTTTGGGAAAAAAATATGCAAAAGGCATCAGGAATGCAGCAAAGTGCATAAAAAGACCCCAATACCTAGTACAAATTGATCTTAAAATGGTTGCAGAAGTGGGAATGGGGCCTAAAAATGTAACTGCATGAAAATGGAATCAGTCGTTAGTTAAAGCTTTCCAGGAACCATTTCAAGAACAACGCACAGCACAGATAGTACAGCTTGACTTTGGAGTATTTGTTTGTCCTGGTGTATTGATGACCTACTATGGAGATTAGTCGCAGACCTTCTCCCCCATCCACCAATACAGTGCCTGAGGCCTAAACGAGCTTTCAGAAAGCTTGAGCATTGTCCCAGGGGAGGCGGGGAAGCATGTCTATGGTTATGGAAATAGTGACTTGGAGAAAGTCGCTATTTGCTTACCCTGCTTGACTGGCCCTCAGACTGCTCTGAGCAGTAATTGGATAGCTGCAGTAATTGGATAGCTGTTGGTTATTTTCAAGCACTATTGCTTTATTAATTCTGATAAGCACATAGGTTCACGTAAGTAAATGTTTTATTTATTGGAATAATGATGTCTTTTCACACTGACGTCAGACTGTGTATATTTTTACCACTGGATTAGAAGTGTAATAAAACATTGCTTTTAGCTATTTTCAGCTCAGGCATTCTGCTTCAGAGAAGAACTCCTCTAGGAAACATTTGCATCCAGTAACATAACATAACCCTACCCCTTGGCTGGACAAATCCCAGGAGCCAGGTAGCCAATGCTCCTTAAAAATTACATCTGATGCCCAACTTTTGGGTTTTCCTCTAGCTGTTGTCAATGGAGCTGACTCCTACAAAAAAATCCTGTTGAGTCCTAATTGTGATAGACTGGGTCCTGAATTCATATTCATTTGCCCACCCCGGCCCTTTCATATAGTTTAGGTTAAAAAATCCTTTCTATGAAGAGGCACTTAAGACAATTATAAGCATGCGGAATCCGTTGATGAAAATTAAGAGTGCTTTGTGGTTACTTCCCTTCTCAGTATGCCAAAGCTGTCACTGGTGGAAGCAGACAGACTCAGTATGCCTGCCATTGGCTCCCTGTGATATTCAAGGACACCTATATTGAGGGAAATATGTTGGCTGTCATTTTTTATTTCCTCTAAAACATGATAGTTGCCTGGTTGTTTCGGGCTTTAATCATTCC